GGTAATTGGAAAAAATTCTAGATATAATGATAAAAAAATTTATCACTTTTATTGACAAATTTCATGTAAAACAAAGACAAACGAATGGTATTCGGTATGGTAATTCTTTTTCTTTTTTTGACAATTGGAACAAATTCTAGACCCAATTGTAAAAAAAATTATCACTTTAATGGACAATTTTCATAAAAAAGAAATCGAACAGACACCAAAATTTCAACATGTTTCATGAAAAATTATACCAATCAAACACAATTAATTACAATTCCCAATAAAATTTTTTTAGGCAATTCAATTCCCTGTAAAACATTTTATTTCCACTAATTTTCCACCTTTGCAATCAAACGAACACTTAATGTTAGTATGGTCCTCTAAATTAATTTTGATTCACCTGACCATTGTACTTTATATTTAATGTTACCATGACCACCCAAAACGACGATAACCAATCTTAATAGTGTTGAAAAGAAGATCTTTGATGTCTTTGCCCCCCATTCGCCAAACACCCTTTCTGATTAGAGGCATTTTGAAGTACTATTTAGGCCATGTCTGAAGCTGATTCTAATGGAGATAAAAATTGATTTTCGGACCGTTATTCATCAATTCAGCCGTGTTTTGTTTGACTTTTATTTCTAACATGCGGGCCCCACCTTGAAAAGTAATGATAAAAAAATCAGGATTTTTGAGCTTAAAATTGGGTACAATAAATAGAAAGATTAAGATGAAATTTGCAAAGATTTAAAATGTTTGGGACCATGACCGCAAGTATCCCTAATAACTACTTAACATTAGGGAATGTGCTACTAAAAATAAAAGGTTCAGGATCTAATCGAACTTTGTTTTAAAGGTTAGGGACCTTCGCTGAAAGTTTCCCAACATTGCGTGCGTGGCATCGATGTGCCATGTCATGGAGCTTTGCCTTTCACCTACTCAAATCAATTGACCCTTTGCATTTTTCCTTTGATGACCAAAATTTATCTCAAATCAAAAGAATTGAAAGGCATTTACTTTTCAATCATTGCAGAAGCATTCGGTGGATTTTCGCTTTAACGACTTTTATTAGCTATTTTACCTTTGCAATGGACACACAGTAAGTAAATTCACTGTTTTTTCCCCTAATTTTTTTGCTTTTTCATCCCACGGATTTTTTTATATTTTTTTACGTTTTTGCCGGTGGAATTGAACAGAATTGCTTAAAATCACATGGTATTTTCAGTTTCAGCGCTTGTGTTTTATTTAATTCATTCACATTTTCCTTCAAATTGCACAATTGAATTAAGCGGTGCTTGATCTTCCTTTTGAAATTTCAAAATGGAAGTGGTGGGTTGGTGATTTGACCCATGAACAATGAAATTAGATTAATGTAAGTAAGTTCTACTGCAACAGCTTCAATAAATAGATATATATAGCTATTTACTTACATATTCATGACTTGAAATTAGCATAATGCAAGTGAGTTCTACTGCAACAGCTTCATTATATAGATATATATAGCGATTTATTAACATATTCTTGTCTTGAAATTAGCTTAATGCAAGTGAGTTCTATGCAACAACTTCAATTTATAGACATATATAGCTATTTATTAACATATTCATGTCTAATAGCCCATTTTTCTTAGCATGACTGTTTCCTGATTGTTTCTTTTTGCCAATTTTCATTTTGCATTCTACAGCATGGATTTCATGATTAATCAGAATTGTTTTTATTTTCGAATTTAATAATATATAAATCAGATCGAGTCAATCAATACTAGAAGCATAACCTTATTATCTCCTTCTTTTATTTTTTCTATTCCAAGAAATTCACAAAATAACAAGTACAGATTGCTATTAGAAATTCTGCAATGATATTGTTTAGGGCCATGTGTATTCTTTTACTTTATGAATTTTAAAGCAAGCACAGGCTTTGGTGAACTTATGCCTTGCATGGAATGGAAAATCTTTTATGTAGCTAATGCATTTTCTTTTCTGCGACTCTGAACATCCAAAATGCAGCCTTTTATGCATATGTGATCTTAACAAACATTTACATCTCAGTAAAGGGGTTATGATCGCATTAAAAGTACTTATGATAGTAATACTTGTAAACACATGATATTTTCTTGAAGTGATAGCTCTGAAATGTTTTCAGGGATAGATTTGTTCACGTAGAGAGATTTAATCTTTTCCACAAACTACATCATCAGATCATAAATAGAATGCCATTTTTTTCCATTTATATGGAGAAAAAGGACTTTAATTGAGAAATCTGTTTGGATTGAACTAAGTCATTCATTTCACTTATGTTCCACCCTTTCCAGGATTTTTTTTTCCCTTAAGATACTCGTGGCAGTGTAATGGTTCTTAATAACTTCTGCTTTTCCATCTCTTTGTTAAACACAGTAAACCATGGACCGGAAGACGTGGCTTTGGAGGAAAAGATCTTCGGAGAAGACAATTGTTGTACATGGAAAAGCAGATATTGCAAATGAAAGTGACAGAGATAAGGTAACTGAACTCGTTCACTTTCTTTCTCTTGATCCAACCTATCAATTTCAAGCATATTCCGGACTTTGGTTCAATTAAAGTTACCCATTTAAATTCTAAAATTTAATGCTTCAACTGAGTCAAATACTCTCGGCATGAATGTTTCTTTGGCTACAATACTATATCATTGGTTAGGGCTCTGCTTTTATGATTTGTACAGGTACAGTCGCTTGCCAGTGAAAAAGAAGTGGCTCTCGAGAATTCTCTAAAACTTCTAAACAAGAAGCTGGCTTCTGCCGTCGATGCGTGTGCTGCTAAAGATGAACTTGTAGTAAATCATGTCAAAATGGCACAAGAAGCCATTGCAGGTGATGATAGACATGATTGTTCATACAATTTTACAATTGTTGTATGGTTTTGGTTCTTCTACTTGATACTTTAATACTACTTCAGGGAAGGAGGAAGCAGAGGAAGAAGTAAGGAGCCTGAAAAAAGAACTCGATAGAGCTTTGCAGCAGAGTGTGGTTGCAAACGAAACGTTAGGTCACCTAAATTCTGCATTGAAGGACTGCAAGGAGCAATTAAATTTAGTGAGGGAGGAACAAGAGCAAAGAGTGCACGATGCTGCCAGGAAAACATCGGAAGAATTGGAAAAAGCACATAAAATTCTAGAGGGAAAACTAACAGAAACAAGTAAAAGGCTTGCAGATTTGACTGTTGAGCATTCATACCTTAGCAAGACCCTACTAGTACAAGAAAATTTGATTGAAGAGAAAAATAAATGCAAATCACAAACAGAGGCAGAATTTAATGCACTAATGACAAGATTAGACTCCACAGAAAAGGAAAATGGTTTTCTAAGGTACGAGTTTCGGATGCTTGAGAAAGAATTTCACCTCCGAAACGAGGAGCTGGAATATAGTCGTCAATCTGCAGAAGTTGCGCATAAACAACACTTGGAGAATATAAAGAAAATAAAGAAACTTGAAGCAGAGTGCCACAGGTTAAGCACCATAACGCGCAGGCGGCTGCCGGATCCGGCTCTCTTGGCAAATATGAAGAGTGAAATTGAAATGAAGGGAAGAAACCAGGTGGAGAAGGGATGTAGAAAATTGAATTCGATTAGAGGAGGTTTAGTCGTGAAAGACTCTAGAGCCGAATATAGTCCAAACATCCTAAGTAAAAAGATTAATGACTTGATGGAGCGTTTGCATGATTTGGAAAAGGAAAATAATATTCTCAAAGAGGTTCTAGCAAAGAAAGTGGATGACTCTGCTTTAATTTCAGAAGTAGGGTACGTCAAACATAAGGAAACTCAAACTGCAACAGAGTGCAAAATGATTGGAGCTCATGATATCACCCTAATGGACGATTTTGTTGAAATGGAGAAATTAGCAATTGTTTCAATTGATGCCCCATTGGGGAGTTCTTTTGCTTCTTCTGAAGCGAGTTACACGTTATCAGATTCCTTTGAGGATATGTGTGGGAATAGTATTTCAACAACTAAGGAACTTGTTCCAGTGGAACAAAATGAGTTCAGTGATATTGACAACAAACTTCAAACAAGAAATCCATTGTTTAGAAAGCCCAGCAATTGGCTTCAGAAAGTCATGATTGTGATCTTGGAAGAAACCCGTATTTCAGGAAGAAGCCTGAATGAACTTTTTGAAGACATTAGAATGGCTTTGCACAGTATGAATCACCAGTCAAGCCCTGTTAATTATGAAAGATCTAAACTACTTTCCATTAGTGGCTACATCACTTGGAAATCTGCAACATCTCCAAGAACAATTTCAGAACAAGAAAACATGGGAACCTTTGCGGAAGAAACGACCACTGAATTTAACCAATCTGATCTGAACAGATCTATGCGTGAAATTATGGAGCTAGTTACACAGTTTCATCCACCATGTGCAGAGGACTGTAATGTGCCATTCAACTTGTTGGACACAGATTTCAATGCCTTAATATGCAAGCAGTCTTCAACAGCAGCTGATTGCATTATTCGTGTTTTCCAATGGAATAGTTGTGAACTTGATGCTGTTCTACGGCAATTTTTTCATGCATGTAGTTATTTACTGGATGGGAAGATCGATTTTGAGAAATTCATCAGGACATTGACTTCTACACTGGGATGGATCAGCCACAAATGTATAACTTCTAATAATAACGTTACCATCAGAGATGAATTCAAGAGGCACCTAGGTGGGGATGGACCAGGAACTGCTCTGGGACTTGAATCTGTGCAAAACCTTATGCTTGAAATGGAGAAGATTCATTCTATTCTCCAATTAGAAAATAAAGGATTAATAAATGAGTTGAATTTCATGAAATCCTTGGTAAAAGATATGGAGGTCAGTCTGCAGTCAGCGAGGGAGATGAATGGGGACTTCAAGCATGAACTAGAGCAATCAAAACAAAGTATTGTAAAGCTACAAACTGAGTCGAAAGTTTTGAAAGAATCAAAAAGAATAATTGAGGATCAGATTGAAAATCAGAAACTGATAAATGAAGATCCTGATACCCCACTCACTGTTGCCAGAGGTAAAATAAATGAAGTTCTCCAGAAATTATCTTCTGCTGAAGTAGAATTGGATGACAAAAGCCATTGCTGTGAAGAACTGGAGGCGACAGGTCTCGAGCTTCAATTGGAAAGGTACCATCTGTTTTCTTAACTTTATAGTTAAGTTTATTCATCAGTAAATTAATGATTCTTGTTGATTATATGTGCCAGCAGTACTGGCAGCAAGCAGTATCCACAGGACAACGAAAATCAAAAAGAGAAGCTGCACAAAACTGTAAGTTCTGCTCAGAATTGCCGGAGAGAATATATTGAACATACAACTTAACATTAGACTCAACAAGGGTATTGGAAATAATTGACATTTTGAAGCCAATGGTTAATGCAAATTAATGTATCATGTTTAGGTGTGTTTCTTTATTGAGAACATGGCTTAGCTTGTCCAGGCATATCTTCTGTGCTTAACTGAGGTATTTTTATTTCGTTCATGCATGTATAGAGCATTTTTTTTCTATTTTGCCCATTTTAGTTTGCACATTGAAGTGTTATTTTGCTCTTCTGGACTAAAGCAAATACCTTATATCTCATAAGGAAGTCAAATGTTGTTCATGTGAAGAGAGATGTCTATGTTCAAAAATACTGTAGTCTAAAGTATAGTGTCCAGAATAACTAATTTGGTTTGTTGAATGATGGTAATATTGTGCTAATTTACTAACTACTAACAGACGAAAATCTCATATTTTCAAGCCACGAGAGAAATTTTTTCTGAAATCGGAAATCTTATTTGGCTGAAAAATAAATTCAGTTGCATCCTATCATGAAGTCTCGGGAGGTAGAAAATTCATATAGCCAGTTGTGAACATATGTATTCACTTAGATTGTAGTCATCAAATTGGAGTAAACAACTAATGACATCAGTGAGAATATGAGAAATATATGTGAAACAGAAAGTATTCAAACAATGGCTTATTGTTGAGAGACGTGTGTTCAAATTGGCAGGATGTGGAGATAACAAATACTTCTGCTAAGTTAGCAGAGTGCCAAGAAACCATCCTAAAGCTGGGAAAGCAGCTAAAACGGCTGGCTTCAGAAAAGGAAGCTCAAGTAGTCAACAAGTTTCTGTCGATTGAAGATAAAAGTAATAGCAGGTCTAAGAAGCGATCATCATTTCTTGATCAGATGATATCTGAAGACAGTGCAGAAGTTGAGGACGTACAACCTCCAAACACAAGAGAGAGTACAAGCCCCCTTAAAGCAGACAAATTGCCTATCTTTCGTGCAACTCCAGAAGCTTATCGTGGGCTGACGCATAAAGCTGAAAATGCCAAAGCCGAGGCTTTGGTCATTGTACCAAGCAAAAAGCTGGGAGGAGTTCTCAATTTCTGGAGGAAGTTTCTGCTTAGGAGGAAGAAAGGTGGCAGTAAAAAAAAACCTTATGTTCCGTCAGTAAATACATAATGCATAGCGATGCAATAAAAATGAGTTTTTGCTTGTGAATGGATTTGGACCTGATTCACTGTACCTTGCTTCCTAGGATTGCTCAAGTTTTTGTTTATAACTATTCTGAAGGTTTTATGTCTTGTGTTGATAATTTAATCATTTCTAACGCATTCTGAAGACCATCTTAGCAAGAATAGTTGTGATGTTACCATTTGGATACTATCTATTTGTTCGTGTTAAATTATTAGTTAGTAGGAGGAAAAGTGTATTTGCTTGACGGTGGTTGTATGTAGCCAGGGTATTAGCATTTGTGTTGTTGTGTTGGTGGTGGTGGTGGTGGTGGTTGTTAAATGCAGCCATCATCTTTTTTTTTTTTCTAATTCTTGGATTTTATTTATTAAGTTTCGTAGGAGATTTTATGAGTTGATCACTATAGTGGAGGCTCTTGTTTGGTCATAAGCCTGGCTCCAGGATCAACTGGTTCAAATTGAGGGAATGAGTAGAAAGAGAGATAATTTGAACGTCCCTGGAGGCGGCAAGGCGCTCCTGAAAAAAAGGGATGGCGAGGTCGACGCCCTACAGACTCAACTGAAGACTAGTGCTTCCCAGGTAGTCACTTATAAGATGTCAAATGAGTTTCAGTTGATTAGCTACGTGTATGGCGCAAAACCTTTAAAGGACACATTGATATAGCAAGGGCCAACCCTGCTCATTTGGAACGATTCATTAAGCAATCTTATTAATGGGCGGGAAAAGGGACGAGTATTGGGGAGGAGTGCAGTCTTGTGAATTGGTGGAACAGGAGATGAGTGATGGAGAGGGAGCTATGGCCTATGAATGGTGAGAAAAATGAAGATGTCCCTGAAGTCCAAAGTTTACACGTCATCTTTGAGCCTGGATCCCTTTCAACACTGCCAAGACTCCAGTACATCACTTTGAAGGTGGAGAGCAGAATTGTTCTATTAGATTACCTTTTAGTACATATAGATACTGCCACAGACACAAATATTATGCAAGTGTGGTTCTTAGTACATACAGATGCTCGTGGCTCTACATGCTTCACTTTATGAAGCATTCCATACAAGATAAAAAGTGGAGGCTGTACATATGCATGTGCGTGTGAGCACTGCTCTTATTTGCATTCAAAATCAACTGTGAATTAGAAAAAAATCCTCTAGTTTTGGTGGCGGCTTCTGCAGTTTCGTTCATTTCGTATATTCATGCATATGCATTAATCTAGGTTACATGTAGAATTTTCTGCATACATCGTAAATTTATTGGCGAGGTTGTTGAGTTTATCCATTATACATGAATAAAGTTGGATGCTTGTAATGTCAAGTTTTGCTAGCTGCTTCTGCAGCATCCTTCATTTCAAGCAAGGCGTCTTCAAAACACTGTACCAGAATTTGGGGGTCTGGAATTAAGTCTTTGGCCACCAGTACTTGCATATCAGCTCTATCACCATAACTCACCATATGCATAGTGATTGCCTGCACGGCCAAGAACAGGAGTGGGGTTGGGGTAGGTTGGGGTTGAAATTTCCATTACATTCTATATATAATTATAAGACATTTGTTAAATGGAAACAAACTACACTACATACTACTAGCGAATCGGCATGTTTTATACTGTGTACCAAACATGCAGAAAACTTACATGAGGTAAGGCGGTTGAATTTGCCCTAATGTATGTCACAGGGTTGCCTACAACTGTAATCTCCTCTCGAGGGCCGATTACATTTGAGATAGTAAAGGTTGTATTGCAAACAATTCTATAATTAAGAATGCTGGCAAGCTTCAACCCCATGAAAACAAGAAATCAAGATTAATATGCAGTAACAAAAAATATGTACTGAAAACTTGCAGTTGAGCAAAAAGTCACCTTTGCCCCAAAAAATGACATGACAAAATGCCCAAGTTTGTATGAACACGGGGCCTCTAGAGATAACTTTTTCTTGTCGATCATTGATTTGGATCTTTTAAGAAACTCGAGTGGATTTGAACCACCTTTATGGTAGTAAATAGGCAACAACATCATCCCAAATTTGTTGCCCCAACGAGTTCCTGAGTTGTTATTCATCAACTTGGATATATCCTGAAATAAACTAGTCATCTGTTACGACCCAAAAAACTGTGTACATGATATTCAACTGAGATCTCACTCTTATGCATATGAAATAGCTTAGCTTTTATATGAGATACCAACAATTCATTCTTTAGCTCAATAAAATTAAGAAATAGAATGAGACCTGCAATCCTGATTGTGGTCTTAAGTTAACCATGGCAGCACCTGTGAGTTTAAGCCCCTCTTTCAAAGCTAGAAGAAACAAGTAAATCCAGTTTAACACATCGATATGTCCTCGGCATTTTCGCCATTAGATAGTATACTAAAAAAATAGAAATAAGTTAAAATCTATGTATTTTATTATTGTGTAACAAATATGTCTAGCAAGTGAATGAAATTTACCTTTTGGTGATCTGATGTCCAAGTACCTTGAAAACCCACAAGATAATACCCCGAAAAGAACATCATTAATGGTCTGCATTTTGATGGAAAAAGAAAAACACAAAATTTAGGCTACTTCTCCATATGTATGTATAAAAGATTTGAAATATACGTGTGGATGAAAGTCAGTCGCTTGCCAGTTTACATTTGGTAGGTCAGATTGAATTCTAATAATTGTGTTTGAGATTATTGAATAGTAGATTGATGGAGAATGTGTGGTTAAAAATGAAGGAAAAGTTATTGTTGTGATGGAAAATATTATTTTATTGAAGAATGTGTGGTTGAAAATGAATAGAAGAATGAGAATGAAAAAAATAATGTGTACCAAACAGGGTCCAATTTGATCAAAACCCTGTTTGAGCTCTATTTTTTTGGAAAACGTGGAGTTAAAAAGTTGGAAAAAAAAATTTGAGTTTACATGTCAAATTATTTTATTAAGAAAATACATACAATTGAAAATGAATTTAAAAAAATATAAATTTTTAAATAACGAAACTGAAACAGACGTTGAGGACTTAATTGGACCACACATGCCCACAATTGTTATCGAATCATCCCATTTCACACGCAAACATTGTTTTCATAACACATTGAGGCGACAGGTTGTTGAATTAAGTTCAGTGAATATAAAATTGTACCTAAAAATTGTCCAACTACCGAACACAGTGCGTCGTATGACAGCAAAACCCCTCTTTTTACCCATTTACAGAAAAAAAAATTTATCAACTGTGTGCTAGGGTTTTGCTATTTGTGGGCTGAGATTAACTCCCTAGTGTACACCCTCTCACAATTTGTCTGTGTGAGGGAATGTAGACTTACACACAGCAAAATCCATTATTATATCAAATGGTTAAGGAAAATGCTATTTGTACTACTCACATGGGAGGGGGTCCACCTCGGTTTAAAAATGTTAAATAAATTGAGGTGGATGCCTCCACGTGAGTGGTTGTCAACCTCGATTGTACGATTAGCATCGTCCAATGATTAAACAATTTAAAAAGACTTGGTTTAAAGCGACTTACTGCATCCGTAATAGCTTTTTTGACGATCTTCATATCGTCAAGTCTAAACTTCGCCGTGGCCAGCTTCCGCGGCCAGAGCTCCACCCCTGAGCCGCCGCTGATGACGGTTTTCTTGTCCTTCAGCCACAGAGCCCTCAACAAGAACTCCAAAACGTACACCAACGTGTACCACACTACTTTCATTAATGTCCACAAGCTCCACCGCCGCCTCGTCGTCGATGAGGTTCCTACGCCACCAGCGGTCGGGAGCTGCGAAGGATCATCAGCTCTCCGGCAACAAGAGAGAAACATCGACATCAATGAAATTCCATCTCCGAGAGCATGGTGCAAGCGGAAGACCAAGCAATTGTGCGCCATGAGCAGGTGGATTTCCCACAGTGGTTTATCAGTACTGAGTGGAGAAGAAACCGAGAGATCGGAAAGATAATCATTGACAGAATCTTGGTCGGAGATGGACGGGTCATCAGAGAGAGGTTTATCGAATACGAGGACATGGCGGTCAACGTCGACCTCCGTCCTCCGCCAGTACTCGCGGCCTGATGAGTGTTTGACCATGAGACTGCAGAATCTAGGGTGTTTGAGCAATACAGAGTTTTTTACTACGGCTTTGAAAGCATCGGCGTCTATTTGATTCTTTACGCCGATTAAGCAGTTGATAATTTGGCTCGTTTCCGGCTGGAGGAAGAGCCGACCAGCCGGTGTTAGTGGCTCGTCTCTCTCCATAATAGAGAGAGAATAATTAAAGTGATTATATTTGCTGTTTGGCTATCATGTGAAACCCTCTATTAAAGGGCTTCTGTTTGGCCGTCTGTATTGGTTCGCTGTCACAATCATTTTTTCCTCTATTGTCGCTTACATATATTTTTAAAATAAGGTCAACTAAGTTCCCGTTTGGTTCGAATTAAAATCTGATTTTCATGAGTCCCACAACTCTTCAATCACACATTTTAAAAACTTCTATAAAAATTTAATTTTAATCCACGCCAAACACGCTCTAAATAAATATACTATTTCGAAGAAAGAATTTTATATGTAGAAATAGATAACTAAATTTCTTATTTTATATAAAAAAATAATAATTAAACCATTCGTGGTTATAAATCGGTTGCTGAAACTGCAGGGAGTGTATTTATTTACTCTCTACGATTCTTCTACATACAGCGATATTACAAAATTCTTGCTTGCATCTCGACAAAACGAATATTTAGCATTTAGTTAAGGGTGATTATCAATGAATAGAAGTCCCAAAGAGACGTTGAATTACGCCCGACTTTGTTGAAAATTTCAAGTTTTAAAAATTCATATTGGACTAAATCTTAGATGGTGGCTTTTGAATTTTAGAACTCTCGTTGAATTGTTGAATAGTACGATGGTATTATACCATAATAATTTATATAAGAGTAGACACGACGGTCGCAGAGTTTTAAAGTTAGGGGGTACAATCGAATTTGCAAAAAAAATTAGGAGGAATTTTACAATCGAAAGTTTACGTCCAAAAAAATCACACCCTTGTAATTTTGCATTCGAAAATTTACATGGGATATAATTTTTTCGGATGTAAAATTCCAAAAAATTTTGATGTTATATTTCATATAAAATTTTCTAATAAAATGATGAAAATTACATTGAGAAATTTGTATCGCAAAAATAATAAATGTTAATGAAATAATTGAATTTTTTTTTAAAAAAATGCGAGTTAGAGGTTTTTCTTTAAAATTCACGTTTAACGTATTTTTAACTATTTTCGATATCTGTTTGGACTATTCGATATGTCCATATTATAATTCTTGAAATAAGTTTTGAGATGACATAAACAATTTGTAAATTCGATTAGCGTATAATCGTCGGAGAATTTTTAAAATTAGCATGTTACCGAAATTCAAATTTATTGTGATTTTGCTCCTGCTTGGTGGAGATTAAAATCAATTTTTTCGTAAATTTTGATAAAAGTAACAGTTATAAATTCCATGAAATATGTTATTAAAATTAATTATTAACTTTAATTTAGATTTCAATCGATATCACATATGACTTGAAAAAAAAATCTTAAAAGTTGGGGGCATGTGCCCATCCTCCCCCCAGGTCCGCCAGTGAGAGTAGATTCTAACTATTGAGAGACCAACAAGATATTAAGGGCCTGTTTGAAACCCGGTTTTTACACCAATTCTATTTCTGCTACAGTAACCAAAGACATGTGTCATTTAGGGCCTGCAATCTCTTCACCACAGTTGTGGGACCTAGGTAATTAAAAATGCAATGTCCTCAAGAACAAATGATAACCTGGAGCTTGACACATTTGACTTTTCAAAGCCATGGATAAGTCTTTTCCCAAGTTTGCCCCCCAACTTGTACATTACGTGGCCACAATTGTGTTTTGACGTCAACACGTGAGGAAGCCATTTTGTAGTGAATCGGGTTGCACGAAATGATGAAAGCGAAATTTGAGATTATGGAATCCGTAAATGTAACACGCGGAACAACAGTTAGATGACGTGCTCGAAAATAACATACGAGTTCGCATACATTCGTAAGAAAATTAATATGAATACATTACGCCCCCCCATTCAAAACGGCAGCGATCCGAAACGCTTAACGTAATGCCTGCGCCATGTAATCGCGTAGTTGTAGTCACGGGATGTCCTCTTCGACCACTGCATCGAGTTCGGCGGCCATTTCATCTTCTGCATCAGGTAAATCTATCTCGACTTCGTCGTCATCTACTTCTTCAGCTCTACGAAAACCCTCATCCAGCCTACCGTTTCTCCGAAGGAAATTATGTATACCCATTGTAGCCACAACCACAGCTGTTTGCGCTCTCATATTATACGCCGGCATTCGATCAATTATCTTCCATCTCTGTTTCCAAACACCGAACGCACGCTCAATCACGTTGCGGCATGATGAGTGATGGAAATTGAACCGCTCTCGTGCATTTCGGAACCGACGACGATGTCCTGCCCTCGCATTGCCGAACTCTTGAAAATGATATCTGATATCAGAGCCCTTATACGGAGCCATGTACCCAGGCCTATGTGCGAAACCAGAGTCCACCAGGTAGTATTTACCGTTCGCGGGTTGGGGAAAATTGACATCCTGACTGTGGACAGCACGGGCCAAAATGCGGCTATCGTGGGTGTTTCCGGTTGTTCCCGGCAGCACAAACGTAAAACAGAGATTGAAGTCACAGGCGGCCAATACATTCTGGGTTGGAATCCCCTTTCTTCCAATATAATTCTCTCTTACATTTCGTGGCAGTACGGCTTGCACATGGGTTCCGTCGATCGCACCTATGCAATCCTGTAATAATTAAATGTATCAACACATCTTCGATTCATGTACACAGGGCATGTTATACCGTCTATAACGTTAAGTACATAACCTGGAAAAGAGGATATCGTTCCCTATCCGGATGATGATGAGGAGCCCCTTCGTTGTAACGCTGATCTGGTTTAATCATGGTTGCCGCGAACGCCACGCATGCACGCAAAACCGTCTTAAAGTAATGACTGATCGTCTGCAGCGAATGACCGAAAAGCGTTTGGACTTGACGATATCCTTTGCCGTGTGCTAGAATGCACAAGAACATTCCCACCTGTTCGTATATGTCAATGTTCGTGCTGCTAGAAATTCCGAACGAGTCGCGAAGAATGTGCGTGAAATACATAAACATCGGCGGGTACATCCTAAACTCCTGAAAGCACGTATGCGGATAGACGTGCAAATTTTGTAGCATGAAAACGTGGCCGCATCGCTCTGTCGGGAATAGAAATCGACGTGCTCGATTACGTGCCAAGTACTCGCGAACTATTCCCTCGGCGATTCTACAGTACTGAAACCAAGTGATAATGTCAGCATCCATTTGGTCCATCACATCTTCATCAGACATCGTGTCCGCATCTGACATCGAATGAATGTCGCAGTCTGTTTCTGATGATGCGTACGCATCCGAACTATCGGACATCTTTTCGAACTTGTAGCCGTTATGGAGAAATTTCAAATATTTGAGTTTCGAATAGTTGTGGCAAATTGAATCGAGTTTCTAACATGAAAAAACATGCACGATTGGTAAAAATATTTGTCGCTGTGGACGCTGTGAGACGCCCAAAAAATGTAGTTCGCATTAGAAGTTGCAACTTTATATAGAACTACAAATTGATGAGCAATAATTTGACCTTACAGTGGTTGTTCAATAATTGATATGCCGTTGCGTGTTTTACTCCACCCACTTTCGGCGTGGTTCAAATTATATGATGGGAATATTTGTTGCATCTCTGTTTCAAATTTCAGTAGGAGACAAATTCATGCAGAAAAGGACACATGGCCACAACCATCATAGACAATTTTTCAACAAAGTGACTCTGCAATAAAGTGACTGTCCAAGTACAAAAAGGGAAATTTCACATGGGTTCCATTCAACCTACATTGACTAGTACGTACGCATGCAAAATTTCTTAGCATGTTGCACATCAAAATTTTCAATCAGATGATGATTCTAACTGGTCGTCCATGCTATTGCACGCAAGTAGAAAACGTGCCTGCATCCGAGGTACAGTGGTGGAATATATATTACAACACAGAGTCGAATGTCATACGTTACACGATGTTTTCAAGTAACAGAGAAACGAAGTACGCGGTTTGTACACAGTTATGTAGAGAAAAGTACGGAATCGTAATTAGAAACTCATCACAACCGTCCGATGCGCATTCTCACTCCTTACGGCTAATGGACGCATTGTCTCGCTCGAAACAGTACTCAATGAATTTATATTTAGTAAGAGGTGTCTTCGCAGCACAAAAAGAGGTACGATTGTCTTTGTCTCGTAGGAACCATAGGGCGAAAAGGTGGAGTCTATCACCTTCCTGAACATGGCCAAACGACAGAAGCTCGTCAACGCATTCGCCGACTGTCATTCCCGCCTTACGATGCGATCGCGCAATTGACGCGAGATCCGTTCCGACACTTGCCAACTGCTCAAGGGAAGCCGACACCTCCCTCGCACCGTACATTTTCTTCTTCGACTTTCCCTTCCTGTTTTTGTGTTTTCTTTTTTCCCCACTACTTCGTCCAGATATGTTCATGGAGGAAGCAGCACGACCCTCGACGGGGCTACCACTGGAATCTGTGGCCTCCGCGTTAATGGGGAACTTGTCACCTTCGTACTCCCTGTCGCTATCTGTTCCCAGCTCGAAGCCGCGCTGCGACAGCTTGGTTGG